GCTTCTAACAGCTGCCAACGCAGGTTCCATATGTTGCCCAACACAGCTTGCAAACACTGCGTTTAAACGCAGATTTCATTCCAGAATGCAGAACCTGCGTTTGACTCGTTCAAACACGAGTTGAACGATTCCAGAAACCATTTTCTCCCCATGATCTGAGGGATTTCCATCCCCACTTAGGAGCGGATTAAGGAGGCGGTTACACCCTATTCAGCCCCACTTAGGAGCGGATTAAGGAGGTGGTTACACCCCATTCAGCCCCACTTAAGAGTGAATTAAGGGGGCGATTACACCCCTTAATCCCCTATAAATAACTAAAAAATCAGTTTAGTTGAGGGCTCTTTGGCTGGGGCAGATCAAGAGAGATCTTTGGATCCTTGAGCATTTTCAGATCTAAAGATCAGCAAAGGGCATTCTTCGGCAACAGGAGCTATCTTCGTGCTTGGCTTGTCTAACCAATTACGGTTAAGATCAATCAACTCTTTTACAATAGTTTAAACTCGTTCTGAGTTATCAATTCGTTCAGAGTTTCAAACTTGCCACACAAGTCCTCCACAGCGTCAAATCGTGAGGAGAAGATCATGTTCCAGTAAAACAAGACGTTTGGATCGTCAACGAGAAGCAAACTTGACGCGAGCATTTGAGGGAGGCATCTCATCGCTACCATGAAGAACCCAAAATTAAACAAAGTGGAGAATCCAGATCATTCTCCTCTCTTTTGTAATCGAAAATCCAAATTGTAATTGAGATCGAGAGAATACAAATCAAATTTCTTTCATTTTATTTACTATAAATTTTCCACCAAGCACTAGTACTCTAAGTAGGGCCCTTCTACCACCTGCCAAAATTTTGTACGTTATTAATTTAAGCATATTTCTCCATAATAATAATTAATAAAATGGGCAATCTTGATCGATCCACTTCTTCGTGTAGATTTGCTTAGGAGGGTATTAATTGAGGAGGCAAAAAAGTGCACAAACAGTGTTACTTTGTTCCAGCAGCTACCAACTTG